GGGAGGGAGCCCCAGTGTGGGGACACTATGGAGGACTCCAGGTGCCTGGAGAAGGGGGGAAGGTGTCCCTGATAGGAAGTTTAGACCAGAGAGCCAAGGTGGGGTAACTGATGGGGCTCAGCTGGGACAAAAGAGAGGCCTTTCCAAGGGCCACATTCTAGTTTTTGAGAATTAGATGCAGGCAAAAAAGCAGACAGACACCCTAAGTCTGATGTAAACTTTCCAGGGCTGCCTGGTGGGCTCTCTGAAGCCCCCTCCAACAGAGTCCAGGTTAAGACCCTTCTCCACCAGCAAGGGAAGGAAGTGGCAATAGACAGGTTGGTGGGATATGATGGGCGGTTATGAGACACCACCGTGGGCAGAAGGGCTGGAACTAGGCTTCAAGGGGGTGGAGCCTGGAGGGGGATAGAATCAGATGATTGGCTGGAACGTGGGAGTGGGTGAGTTCATGGAGTGGGAGACCTAGAGGAAGGGTAGTCTGCTGCAGTACAGCGAGATGATTGATTGGTGCGATGGAAGTAGGTGGCGCTCTGTAAAGGAGGCCCTTGAGGGGTGGGGATCTTGGGGTGATTGACAGCACTCGGTCGGTGGACGGCAGTGACTCTTTGCTTTTCCTCACAGAAACGTTGATGGACTCCACCACAGCGACGGCGGAGCTGGGCTGGATCGTGCATCCACCATCAGGGGTGAGTCGGTGGTCCCCACACCCTGCCCGGTCCCTCGGAGGACCTCGGGTTCTGCTGCAGGGCCTGGATGCCCCCTAAATTCCAGCCCCTTTCCCTCCTTCAGGGCCCAGGGCTGGCCTCTCGTTGCCTCCTGGTCCCCTACTATTGGTGGAGGGCCGTTACCATGACAACATGCTGGCAGCTGGCAGCCTTTATCCCATGGCATCCTCAGGGTGAGGCTGAGAAGTAGGAACCCACGCTGCCCCCATTATACAGATGAGGAAAGTGAGCTGTCATTTTCTGAGCACCCACTGTATCACATACTGTATCAAAGAAGCACCTTTATACACATCCAATCCAATCATATGGGGAAGAAACACCTCCATTTTACAGGTAAGGAAACTGAGGCTCAGAGACTCGTAGCTTCCTGACAGGGGTGTTATACCTAGTTAGTGATGGGGGTCCGGTTTGTATCCAAGGCTCTGACCCCCTTTCTGGGCCCCCTTTCTGGGTCCCCATAACACGAGGCTCCCCTTTCCTGAGCTCTTATCACACTTCTGTGAGCCCATACTTCCCTGGGACCAGTGATCTGAGCCCAGGTAGGCTATAAGTCCCTCAGGAGAAGAGGAGGCACAATCTGAGATTCCTCTTTCTTCCAGCACCATCTTACATGCAGGCTATGGGGCCAGACGTGCCTGAAATTCTGTCCCAATTCTGCCACTCAGCAGCCACGTGATTTGGGGCCAGGTGCTTAACCTGTCTGAACTTCAGTTTCCTCATCTATAAAATGATGGTGGTCATGTCCTCTGCGTTGGACCGCTGTGAGGTTTTCCCGCACGATGTCTAGCACAGTGCCTGGCAGAGGACGCCCACGCCCACGATGAGTAGCTGTAGTCGTACCACCATCATATCATCATCGTCACGGTCATCAGTTTTTATAGCATTCCCTCCTCATCTCCCTGGGATCCCCCCCGCACCGCCCATCCCTTCCCTTCCCCCCATCCCAGCTCCTCCCATTCAGCTGCTGCCCCAAGGAGCTGCATCCCCCCCCCCCCCCCCCCGCCGTCACCTCCCCAGCCCAGACCTGTGCTCTCAATAGGCAGGGCCCTAGGGTCAGGCCTCTTTCTGGGGCTCTTTCTTGTCACCAGTTTTCCATCTGCGAAGGCGGCCGGGCCCGTAGCCCCACCCCAGCAGGAATGAGGCCAGGCTGGGCTGCAGGGCCCCCGGACGCAATTATTTGGGGTGTTTAGGCTGCAGGGCCTCCGCATGTTAATTAGAGAGAGGGGAGAAAGGCAGAGTGCTCTAATTAAGTGCTCTAATTAAGTTCTGAAGAAGAGCAGTGGTTGTAACAAGGGGCTGACTTTGTCACATGGTGCCACCAAAAAAAAAAAAAAAAAAAAAGGCAATGTAGAGCTTCAGAGCCGCCATGGATGTGGAGGCTGGGCCAGCAGGCTCCAGCACAGCCTTCCCTACGGGCGCTGGCCCCTCACAACATCAGCCCTCCCCAGGCCCGCAGCCACTGCACGCCTCACACAGACTTGGCCCAGATATCTGAGGAAGGCAGCAGAACAAACAGCACCCACTCGAGGGTCACAGCTCTGCCACTACCGGCCTCACCACCACCACCCATGGTCCCATTTGGCAGTCTGGCAAATAGAGGCTCAGCAAAGGGAAATGACTTGCCCAAGGCCATGCATTGAGTTAGGAGAGCTGGGACAAAACCCAGGACTCCTGGGTTACCTGTGGGTCGTTGTGTTTCGAGGCAGTGTGCACAAGCATGGGAACGGGTCTAGGTCTATGTGACCTGGGTCAAGCGGCCTCACTTCCCTGGTCTCTACTCGCTCACCTGTAGAATGGAGATGATGATACACCATGCATGATAATCATGACAAAGAACTGAGGTCCCTCTCCAGCATCCACCCAGGCCAGCATGAGTGGGAGGGGGTGATCTGCTGTTTCAGCTCTTTTGGGAAAGCCAGCCCAGTACCAAAGGGGACACAGGAGAAGGAGGGGGTGGGGAGCTACTCTCAGCAAGCTCTCAGCCCCACTGGGGAGACCAGGCCGGGCGGCCCAAGGGTGCCCGGCCCTCGCCCAGGCTGGTGGTCCCCAAAGGCCCACGGGAGAATCGGCGAATTCGAACTCTGCAGCCAGAGAGAGCCTGCTCCAAGAGGCTGCAGAAGGATGGACAGAGAAGACGAGAGGGTACTTGAGGAGGGTACAGAACTGTGAACAAAAGCTCAGCATGTAAGTGAGCTTGGCTTGTGTGGGTCTGTGAGGAGATACCATGGGGTCGGGGCCTTTCATTCCCAGCCTTCCGTGGCCCTGCCCAGCCCCCTTCCGCAGCAGTGGGGCTCGGGAACTCTCAGATGCATGTGTGAGAGACAGGCTGGGGCCCAGGGAGAGTGCCACGGCACCTGCCATCGGCAGGAAGGGTGGAAAGTCTCTCTCCAGGTCCCCTAACCACTTTAGTGGTATCATAACCACATAAGGCCCCACAACAGACTGCCTGTCTTCCCCATCGTGGGGGTAAGGGCTCTTCTTCTGTCAGACTGGGAATCCCCTGAGGCAAGGACTGTCTCCCTGATCAGAATAGGAGCTCCCAGTAGGCAGATGTTCTGACTCCCCCATCAGACCAGCACTCCTCAAGCACAAAGCTATGTCTGCTCTCAGGAGAGGGAATTCCCTCAGGGTGGGCCTCTCCCTTTTTTCCCTTCCAGGTGGGAGCCTCCCACGAGCCAGGGCCATGTCCCCTTTATCACCGGGGGAGGGGGTGAGGGTCACATCTCCCATATTAATCTGGGGAAAACCAAGAACAGGGTGTGTGCCCTTCCCATCAGATACGCATGTCTCCCTCACAGACTGGGGAACTCCTCAGGGCCAAGGCCATGTCTATCCCTCCCCTCAGGACCTCTCTGATGATAGGAATCGTGTCTCCCTCATCAGACTAGAACATACCTAAGACAGAGTCTGTGCCTCCCCCATTAGACTAGGAGGCCCCCAGTGGTGAGAGTCCTACTTCCCCCTGTCGGACTGAAAGGATTCCCTAAGACAGGATCTGTGTCTCCCCTCTAGACAGACAGGGCTGAGCCCCCTCCCCCACCCCCTGACTAGCATTTCACCCACAGTGGGAAGAAGTGAGCGGCTACGATGAGAACATGAACACGATCCGCACGTACCAGGTGTGCAATGTGTTTGAGTCAAGCCAGAACAACTGGCTACGGACCAAGTTCATCCGGCGCCGGGGCGCCCACCGCATCCACGTGGAGATGAAGTTCTCGGTGCGTGACTGCAGCAGCATCCCCAGCGTGCCCGGCTCCTGCAAGGAGACCTTCAACCTCTATTACTATGAGGCCGACTTCGACTCGGCCACCAAGACCTTCCCCAACTGGATGGAGAATCCGTGGGTGAAGGTGGACACCATCGCGGCCGACGAGAGCTTCTCGCAGGTGGACCTGGGCGGCCGGGTCATGAAGATCAACACCGAGGTGCGGAGCTTCGGGCCCGTGTCCCGCAGCGGCTTCTACCTGGCCTTCCAGGACTACGGCGGCTGCATGTCCCTCATCGCAGTGCGCGTCTTCTACCGCAAGTGTCCCCGCGTCATCCAGAACGGCGCTGTCTTCCAAGAGACCCTGTCGGGGGCCGAGAGCACCTCGCTGGTGGCTGCCCGGGGCAGTTGCATTGCCAATGCCGAGGAGGTGGATGTGCCCATCAAGCTCTACTGTAACGGGGACGGCGAGTGGCTGGTGCCCATCGGACGCTGCATGTGCAAAGCGGGCTTCGAGGCGGCGGAGAACGGCACGGTCTGCAGAGGTGAGGGCTGCGGCGGGGCGGGCACCTCTGCAGGGGTGTAGAGCTGCAGCTGGCTGCAGACACGGGCTGGGGGGGCACTCAGGCTGGCCAGAGCAGTGGCCTAGAGCTGACTGGGAGGCCCTCTCTGGCCGGGCTTCCCCAATCCGCAGCCGACGTTCCGTTTCTTAGAAGGAAGCGTTTGAAGGGTGCTTCTAGAATGGTGGCAGGTATATGTCCCACAGGGAGCATGCAAGGTGATTTTCATAGGCGTGGGGATAAATGTTTCTCATTTTATTTTTTTATTGTTTTGTGTTTTTAAAGATCTTATTTATTTATTTGGCACAGAGAGAGGGAGAGAGAGCACAGGCAGGGGAAGCAGCACTGGGAGAGGCAGAGGGAGAAGCAGACTCTCCCCCCGCACCCTGCCCCGGTGAGCAGGGAGCCCAATGCGGGACTGGATCCCAGGACCCCAAGATCATGACCTGAGCTGAAGACAGACGCTTAACTGACTGAGCCACCCAGGCACCCCTAAACATTTCTCATTTTAATTATTACATGAATATTAACAACAGCAAGCCATGCTCTATGTCTTCATTTACAAAAGTGATGTCATTTCATTGTGAAGGAAGTAAGGTCCAGTAAAGAACGGGGGTAAGTTAACATTTATTGGGCTTCGGCTGTGTCCATCAGTACAGGCCAGGCTCAACAGAAGTGATCAAACAGTCAAAGTTCATTTCTCACTCACGGCTGCCTGTCCATCGGGGGTCGGCTGGGGAGTCCTCGCTCAGGGAGCCAAGCGGGTTGGAGCAGCCGCCATTTGGAATGTGGTGACTGTGAGGACAGAGAGAAGGAGTGTGAAGTGGATGGCATGCTGGGTCCTGAGCTCTGCCGGTGGTGGCACACACACCGCTCCCCTGCACGCTTCAGTGGCTGAGGCGAGTCACACACTTCCTTCCGGTGCGAGGTAGGGTGGGGGGGGGACACACAGGTCTGCCATGAGCCAGGCCTCCTGACCGCCAGTCATACTGTGCGCTGAGTACTTGTGTATCTAACTTACTACTCCTCTCAAGAAGCCTGGGAGGGATGGGACCATTTTACAGGAAGAAATCGAGGCTCAGAGAGTTAAGTAGGGGAGCCAGGGGTCTTATCCAGGTAGTGCAATTCCAAGCCCACCCCTCAGCCATCGTGCCACTTGGGGTGATTTAAGGAGAGGTCCCAAGGAAGCAATAGTGCAGGTGCTGTCTGATTGGGGCAAACAATCGTGAAGGTGGTCGGCAAGCCTAAGAAGTTTGTAGGAGGGATTGCATGGTCGTTAAGAAGGCTGTGAAGGTAGATAGACCCGGATTCAAATCCCAGCCCTGCCTGTTATTGGCTGTCTGTCCTGGGCTACGCCTGAAACCCTTTTTCTTAGGGCACTTGTGAAGACTCAACAATTCAGGACTGTAAAGCACTTAGAATGGCTTGTGGGTATGCAGTAGGAGCTTAATACATGTTAACTAAATGGGAAGTAATGTCTACAAAACCTGGCCTGGGGCAGGTACTCCACAGTGTGAGTTCGGTGGTGATTTAAAGCTTACTTCTACCACCTCCCCTTGCCTTTCCTGTTGGGATCAGATCCTGGGGGTCCTCCAAATGCCAGGCTAAGATTTGGACCCAGTTCTGGGGTTCCTAAAGTGCCAGTCACTGTGTGGCATCAGGTGGCTGCCGTGACCCTCCCTTTCATAAAATGCTGCTGAGTCCACCATCGCCATGGCTCCTCCCTCCGTGAGCTGAAGCAGCATTTTAGAGGTCCCTGGGCGGAAAAACAGGGGTGCCTGAGAGAGGAGCAGCGGCCCGTGCTCTCGAGAGATGGTGGGTGTCCGGATGGGGCACCCATGGTTCTAGGATCAAGGGATGTGAGGAGGATAAATGAGAAGGATGGCATGAACACGTGGGCTGGAAAGGAGGAATGAGGCAGTTCCGGCTTGTGGGGAGGTGATGGTCCTGGAAAAGAATCAGGGATGTTGGGTGAAAAGGCTGGTTTCTGGGGGAAGATAGCAGAGCTGGTTTTCTATACTTGAGTGTGAAAATGGCACAGCCTTGGGAGGTGGCGGGCCATGGGGGGGGCAGAATCAATCCCTCATTGCTCATTATTTATTCACTTATCAAACCTCACCGGCGCCTGCTCTGTGTCAGACCTTGCGTGGATGGTCAGGGAAGAGAGAAGAACGCAACTGCGCCTCTGCCTTCTAGGAGCCACAGTCTAGCTGGGGAGACAGGCTAGATGTGAACAAGGGAGGGAGTGCCTTTGACTGGCTCTGACTGGAACCACCTGGGCTGGGGTGATTGGTGGAGGGAGGTGGGGAGGCGACACAGAGGAGGTGACATTGGAGCTGAGTCCTGGGAGAGGGATATGTTGACTAGGTGGCCTGGGCCTTCCAGAGGAGGGATCTGCAAGGATCTGGGGACGTGAAGCAGCGTGTTCCATTGCGGGGACTGGTACGGTGTCTGGCATGGCCGTGGCTAAGGGCTCGGGGAGCAAGGAAGGAAGAGGTGTTCTGGAAGGTGCCTAGAGGAAGAGGTACATTAGTTACCCATTGTTGCCCAATAAGTCACCCCAAAGTGTCATAGCTGAAAACAACAAGCGTTTGTAATCTCACGGTGTCTGAGGGTCAGGGATCCAGGTGTGGCTCAGGCGGATGCCCCTGGTGCAAGGTCTCTCCTAGGGCTTCGGTGTCCTCCGGCGGCCACGCTGGGGCAGGGTCTGCTTCCACATTTCGCCCACACGATTGTGTGCGGGCTTCAGTCCCTCGCAGGGAGTCACGTGGGCAATGGCTTCCCCCAGAACAAATGACCCGAGAGAGTTCGAGAGAGCACCCACTACAGAAACCATCATCCTTTTGTGACCTGGTCTCAAAAGTGGCATCTCATCGCTTCTGCCATATTCTCTTTGTCAAAAGCTAGTCCCCCAGTTCATCCCCGATTCAATTACATGGGCTGAGAGTGCCAGGACGGGGGGTCACTGGGGCCAGCAGAGCGGTCACCTGGCACAGGCAGGTCCTCCAAGGCTGAGCTTCCCCTTGCGAGTGGACCCCGGCCCCCTCCTCCCCGGACGTCTGGCCTGACCGCCCCAGGCATCCACCCTGAGTGGGGGGAGGGGTCGTCAGCAGAATCTCTGGGAGAGTGGGGTTGGGGAAGATCCATTTGATATCAAAACAGAATTTGATAAGCAAAAATCTATTGCTTCGTTAATACAAATTGGAGATGATAAGGCTGGTTAAAGTCTGTTTGACAGAGGGTAAGCAGGTGAGTCCTCATGGGAGTGGCACGGCCATCCCAGGGGTGGGCAGGGTGGCTGAGGAAGGGCGGGGAGCTCCCAGTGCCCTGAGCATTTCCCAAAACTGTAGGCTCCTCCGAGGCAATGTGACCAGCTTCCTCCAGGGCCAACTGTGCAGGGCAGAGTGGGGAACGGAGGGGCCTGGACAAGCCGGTCGGTCAACCACTCAGCAAGCGTGTATGAAGGACCCTGTGTGTGCCATTGGCCCTCCGGCCAATACAGACCGTCCCGAATGACGATGGCTCAACTTACAGCCATCCAACTTCTCGTTTTTCCACATTCCAACGGTGCCGTGGCGATGCATATTCAGCAGAAACCCTTCTTCGGAGTTTGAGTTCTGATCTTTTCCTGGGCTGGTGACGGCTGGTCTGATTCTCTCCTTACGCTGGGCAGCCCGCCACATGAGTAGGGGGTGGTAAACAGGCGATCCACGTGCGTTCCTTCTGCGTCCACGTGACCGGTCTTTTTTCCAGTTCAGTACTATGTCCGGTCAATGGCATGAGATGTAACAGGCTTTGTGTTTAGACGAGGTCGCTCAGCTAAGCAAGCTTTAGGTACGCCAGGCTAAGCCCTGATGTTCGGGGGGTTGCGGGGGGTTAAGTGAGCTTTCCACTCAAAATATTTTCAGCTTACAGTGGGTTTATCAGGACGGAACCCCCATGGTACATCGAGGCAGATCTGTATATCTTGAGTACTGTTTATGAGCCATGCACATACCATTGGTGGGGAACACAGGTTGGAATGAGAGGCATACTTTCCCTGCCCTTCCAGAATTTTTAGTCTGAGTCGCTGGACAGAAGAACATGGAGGGGAAAAGTTAGTGAGCAGATGAATAACATAGTTATAAGCTGTGATGAATGAAAGGGGGGATGGGGAGATGTAGCAGTAGAGATCAAAGGAAGACTCGTGTTAGCCAGAGGGGCCAGGGAAGGCTGCTTGGAAGAGGTGTCTTTGGAGCTGACCGTGGCCATCTTGGGAAGGCTGGAGGAGAGTATCTGAGATGCAGGGTTCAGCTTACTGGTTCCCGGGTGAGCAGTAGACTGAGAGAATGGCCGAGTACAATCCTTCCAGAAATGAATTACAGCCAGTCAAAGCATTTTGAGAATGTGAGAAGGAAGGCATCTTTTCTGACTGGAGGTCTAGGAAGGCTTCAAGGAGGAGGTGGCATTTGAATTAGGCCCTAAAGAGTGAGTAGGATTTGGATGGGTGAAGGGAGGGAGGTCATTGTAGATCAAGGAACCAACTGCATGAAAAACGCCCCGAGTATGATAGTACAGGGTGTGTTTGGTGGTTATCCAGTGCTTCACCCTGGGGGGGCGGGGGTGTCAGGGTATGACCCCTCCCTACTCATGTGTTTGTCCAGTTTTTATTGGGCACCTGGTCAGGACCTGCAGTGGCCATACAGCTGCCAGGTGAGGGACTCCAGGGACTTTCTTCAGAAGAGCTCTGGCCTCCTTTCCTCCAAAGTCCCCAGCCCCATCACGGTCCCCACTGAGGTTTGTAGCCAGCAGATCAGCTGGGGGGGCGGGCAGAGGGCTCTGGGCTCTGGAATTCCTTCCCTGCAGCAGCGGCTCCCCCCAAGCTCCCAAGTCTGTTTGCCTGACTCTTTCCAGATGTTCATGGGCTGGATGGGGAAGGTGCCTCTGCCTCAGTGTCTCCAAGTGTGTCTCAGTCGCCCTATTTCTCTTGGTCTCTCCTTCCCTCG